TCATAGCTGACTAACCTATGGGCACATACTCTGATTCTGAGAAGATTCTAGGGCCCCTAAAACTTCCTGTAGGATAGCAAGCAAAATACCTCATGGGAGGCTGACCTCATACCCAAGGCAAGTAGAGTAGGAATAGGGCAAATCTCCCTCCCTCAAAACAAAACAAAAACAAAAACCCTGTTTTGCACCTAACAGTTTCCAGGATGGCAATACAGTGATAGACAAGGCGGCCCAAATTGAAGCTAATTCCCAAACAGGGAAAGTTTCCCCGGGGGGGCGGCGGGGGGGGGGGAGGGCTCAAATCAACAAAACCCACTGAGAGATCCTCCTAGGCCTAGTCAAGATCTCTTGAATCATCTCTACACCAAACCAGGTCCCAGGCGCCTGATCTCATGAGTTTTTCTCAATAGGAGAAAGCACTGACAGGGCCCAAGATCTGTGAACTGGCCTGGAACCCAGGTCATGCCTGTGGGCAATAATCACAGAGTTTTCTAGAGTCAGGCCCTAAACACTATCCACGAGACTTAGCCAGACAGTAGCAGTGACCTACTTTCCACCCCCACTGGGAATCAGGGGCTATCTTGCCCTTATTTGGGTTCTATAGGGATGCAGGGCCAGGGGTAGGGATCAGAAATCTTTCCAAAGCAGCAGGCCAATTACTTTTAGGTGCTAGGAGAGCAGGTGGGGAAGGGGCTGTGGACCATCAAACCTTACTGAGTAGGGAAGGATGGAAGGGTTGGTGAGAAGACTCTTGGAAACAACAGGGACAGGTACATAGAACCATCTGCTGACTGGAGGACCACAAAGATTGTCCCTCAAGCCTTGTAGTTCAAAAGTTTTTAGGGTCAGAGTGTATGGGCTAAGGGTTCAGGACTTCTGAGGTATAGTTGTGACTAGGTTCTGTCTCTGGTCATCTCTGATGCTTGATGCTTTTACCTCTGTTGAGAATCCTACGCCTCCCAAGTCTGCTAACAATTATGATTAACACTGCACTAGATGGGGTTAAAAGGAAAATGAACTTCTTAGGTGGTCTGGGGTCAAGACCACCTTTATCACTCAGACATGCCAGTAGTTCACTTTTATGGTCTCCTCTCCATGGCCCTCTGAAACTCACTGCTCAGGTGGCTCCTCCAAACTGACTCCACACCACAGCTTGCCCACCTTTTAGACTGAGTTCTTGGTAAAGCCTCCTTCCCTCCATCCTCACTGTTCTGAGTTGGGGGCATGGGCCTCAGTCATGGACTCCAAATGTACAGCAGGAGGTGAGAGGAAGGTACACCTGCTCACCTACTGCCGCCCCACCATGGTGAATCTTTTCCCAGAGGCATGTCCCAACTTGACCCCTCTTCTGAAAGTTCTGGAAGACCTGGATTTGGGGGAGGGGGCATGTGGCCAGCCCTAAGTCCCCTAAACTGGAGCTGATCCTAGAAAGGTCAGAGTCTTAGCACCCATATGAACCTCAGTCCTCAGATTAGGGGTGGGGGGCTGGGCAAGAGAGCCTCTGGGAAAATCTCCCTCCCAGAAGTAGGTTGGCCAAGTAGGGCAGGACCTGTGGTCCTGCACAAGAGGTTCTTCCCGCAGCACCCCAGACCCCTCCCGGGGAAGATAAGCCAGAAGGATGATGGGGGGCAGGGTTGGGAGCTTGGGAGGCCAGGGCTCAGCTACCCGGGCCGGGAGAACAAAAGCTGAGTTGCAGCCGCCTCCGCTGCTGCCGCCGGCCGAGCTCTTTGTGACACTTTGTTTGGGACGCAGAGAGGGAAGCACCCCCCATCCTCTCCCCTCCCCCACCCTCGCTCCCGGAGAGTTTGGGTCCCTTCCCCCTCCTCCATCAGCCCTACCTGGGCGGGGGGGCGCTCATCCACTCGGGCTCCCAGATCGGCCACCCCGCACCCCCAGGCCCCTCGCGCCCTGCCTTCGGGCCCCTACAAAGACGCCCACCGCCCCCCCACCCGCGCTGGCCTTTCCCCTTTGGTGTCCGCTTTCCCGGCTCCCCCACCTGGCCCCCCCCCCTCGAGGCCCCCC